CCCCCCCCCCCCCCCCCCCCGACCTGCCCTCCAGGCATGAGCTGCACGTGATGGTGGATGAGGTCTACATGCTGTCCGTGTTTGAGGAGTCGGTTGGGTACCACAGTGTCCTGAGCCTGGAAAGGTGAGCTGACTCTGCCAGTCGTGCGCCCCTCCTCCCACCCAGGACAGTTCCTCTTCCTTCCAGCTAATCCTACTGTCCTCAGGTCCCCTAACGAGAAGAAGGGAGGCTGGGCCAATCAGTGGTTTTCAAATTGTTCTGTGATGGTTCTGAAAGCTCCAAGGAGTGGTCTTAGGATTCCTTGAGGGAAGGCTGGGAGGGTGGGAAATGGGCCTCCTCTGCTGTTTCCTTCATCTCCAGAGTGGCTCCATTTTCATTCATTCACTCATTCACTCATTCATTCAGCAGATACTTCTGGGGCCCCCTGCATGTGCCAAGCCCTTCCAGCTATCGGAGCTTTTTCATTAGATTTAGTTTAAGTCAAGAATGTGTGGCCAGAACACCTTTGGAAACAGTTGGATCGGATCATCCGTAAAATCTGCACATCTGGCATTTAGGGATTCTTACAGTTCCTGATATTCGTTCAGATCTTTCAGCCCTGCCGAGTCCTTTTGTTACCGGAAGGGGGACCCCTTCCAGGGCCCGAGAGTGGGCTCTTGTCTAACACTCGGAAATGAATTGTCTGAAGAGACACACGTACTGACAAAGCAAGAGACTTTATTGGGAAGGGGCACCTGGGTGGAGAGCAAGAGGGTAAGGGAACCCTGGAGAACTGCTCTGCCACGTGGCTCACAGTCTCAGGTTTTAAGGTAATGGGGTTAGCTTTCCAGGTTGTCTCTGGTCCATCGTCTTGCTTGTGCCCATACTTGGTCCAATTCAAGGCCCTTCCTGGTGGTGTGCGCATCTCACAGTCAAGATGGTTTCCTGTGTGAGGGTTTCTGGGAGGTTGGGAGAACATATTATGGGCTGGTGTCTCCTCCCTCCTTCTGGCCCCTCCTAAAGTCTTCCGGCTGGTGGTAGCTTGTCAGCTCCATATTCCTTAGCAGGACCTCTTCTTGTGAGATAACTCATGCAAGTGGTGACTATCCTGCCTGGCCAGGGTGGGTGGTTTCAGTCAGTGGTTCCCGAACACTTTCCTTTGCTCTGCTCAGCCAGTCCTCACAAAGCTCTGCCAGGTGGATGGCACGTAGGTTGTTCCTCCCCTTTGCTTATGGATTAGGAGAGTGAGACTCAGAGAAATAGGGATTTGTCACTTCCTGTGGGCCAGACAGTATGCTGTGCTGGAGATACATCAGTGAACAGGAAAGATATAGACCCTTCTTACGTGGAACTTGTCTTTCTAGCTGGAAAAAAAAAACATCAGAAAAAACCCCCAAAACTTTTAGCAACTAGATACACAGCTAATCATTTGATTATTGAAAAGCAGACGTCTGGAGAGCCAACAGAGGGTCTGCTTGGGGTACCCAGTTGGCCTGGTCTACTGCGGGGGGGGGGGGGCAGAGAAGGTCTGCCTGAGGAAGGGGGGGGGGGGGGGTCAGAGAAGGTCTGCCTGAGGAAGTGATTCTTGAACTGTCCTCTACATCAGGGGCTGGCAAATAGGTTAAGCTTTACAGGTCATATGGTCACTCACTCAGCTCTGCCATTGTAGCATAAAATCAGCCATGCGCAGTACGCAGGTGGGAGAGTGTGGCTGTGCCCCCATAGAGGTTCATTTACAAGAACAGGCAGCAGGCTGTAGTTGGCTGACCCCTGCTCTAAAGGATGTATAGGAATTGGTGATTCAAGAGATGAAACCAGACTCATCCGTCTCCTCATTTGTTCGACCAAACATGTGAACTCCCACGGGTCTGCATTGCCTCTGTTCCCACCCTGTGCTCTCCACAGGCTGCCTGACCCCCAGAGGACCCATGTGATGTGGGCGACCAGCAAGGTGGGTTCCTGGCTGGCCTTGGGGTGTCAGGGGGAGGTGAGAGGGCAGAGAGGTGGGTGGAAGCGGCTTCCTCTGGGAGGGCTGGCTACCTCCCACAGTGCCTTTCTCCTTCAGGACTTCGGGATGTCTGGGCTCCGCTTTGGCACGCTGTACACAGAAAACCAGGACGTGGCCACTGCGGTATCCTCCCTCTGCCGCTATCATGGCCTCAGTGGCTTGGTCCAGTATCAGATGGCACAGCTGCTCCGGGACCGTGGTGACTGCCTGGGCCTGGCCACCTGAGGATGGGGGAGGGTCGTAGTCAGACTGGGACTGGCCAGGGGTCATGGGTGCTTCTCCCATGAGATGAATTTAAGGTGGTGTTTGAGAGTGCCAGCTCTGAGCCCAAACTACGTTCATATCCTACCCGGTCACGTCCCGGCTATGTGGTCTATTCCTTCACCTCCCTGAGCCTCAGTTTCCTCTTCTGCAAAACAGGGATCATAATGGTACCTGTCTTGTAGAGTTGGTGTAATTTGTCATTCAATTAGAATAGCACCTGGCATACAATAGGCACTTAATCAATATGAACTCATTATTATTAGCTGTGAGCACTTGAAAGAGAGCAGAAGCTACTAAGGGAAGATTCTTATAATGGAAGTGTCTCTTTCTGTGCAGGTCTGTTCTGTTCCTGGGTTCAGATAGTGAGTTTAGATGGCAAAGGTTACCTGTAATTGCCACCATTCATTGAGCCCAGCAAGGTGCTCTCAATCTCATTTGTCCCTCCCCAGAATCCTGGGAAGCAGGTGTTCCTGCATTTTCCCCATTATTTTATAGATGAGGAAAATCAGGACCGGGTACTACACACCTGCTATATTAGCTAAATTTAAAAAGCTCGTGATAGTATCATGTGTTCCTAAAGATGTAGAGCAGCTGGAACTCTCACACTGCCAGTGGGAATGTTAAGATGGAACAGCCACTTTGGAAAACAACTGAGCAGTTGCTTATAAAATTCAACACACACGCACCAAATGGCCCAGAAATCCTACTCCTAGGTATTTGCCCTATGGTCACACAAAAACCTCTCCATGAATGTTTATAGCTGCTTTATTCATAATCGCCCCAAACTGGAAACAACCCAAATGTCCTTCCACAAATGAATGGAGAAACAGACTGTGGTTCACCCACACACTGGAATACTACACCGCAATAAAAGCCATGAGGACACAGACCCATCTCAGAGGCATTGTGCTGAGTGAAATAAACCAGTCTCAAAAGATTACATTACTGTATGATTCTACTTACGTGACATTCTGGAAAAGGCAAAACTACAGTGATGGAGAACAGACCAGCGATTGCAGGGAAGGGGGTGTTGTGACTTCAAACAGATAGCACAAGGGTGTTCTTCGGCGTGAGGGAACCATTTAGTATCCTGCCTGTCATGGAGGTTACACAAATCTATGCATATGTTAAAATTCATTGAACTGGACACTGAAAACAAAGGTCAGTTAAAACAATGGGGATCAAGGAGGTGAATTTGCCCAAGGCCTCACGCCTAGTCAGCGGCCACACTGTGATCTGAGCTTCCACCTGGGTGACTCGGAAGTGTCACTATGGAAGTGGGTACACCTCTGGTGAGGGTCTGAGTCCTGAGGGACTTTGTGTCTGGGCTCCTGAGAATGGCATGCAGGCTCTGGAGCCCTCAGGGCCAAGAATCTGGATTTAAGGTGCTTTGCACTGAATATTCCCATTGCCCCCAATCAACCAGCTACAGGAGGGGCTCACCCAGCTTTGGCAGCTCATGGCCTTTTTCTTTTCAGCATTTAGACTCTCAGGCCAGAGCGGAGGGTTGATGGCGAGGTTTATCTTCTGGCTTCTCTTTCACCCAAACAGACTGGATCAACCAAGTGTACCTGCCGGAAAACCATGCCCGGCTCAAGGCTGCTCACACCTATGTCTC